TTCTCCCGTTTGTGCTGTTTGTTATGTATATGTAACGTGTATATACACACATATGAGACCACTGGTGTGGTGCTTCGCAGGTGCCAGAGCTTAATCTGGTTTGGAATCAGCTGGATCTTTATTACTCGCCTGTGTAAGGGTCAGGCTGGTCCATCCAGGTGTGGTCGTGGATGGGGTTCATCAGTGACCATGGTTCAGAGTGTTGCTGCAGAAGAACCATAATGTGATCCTTCTATTGCAGTGTGTTTGGGGTGGGATTTTATTCGTTGGTTTGGTTGTTATTTTAATGCTTGTTCATTTTTCCTTTTATTTTGACTGCAAATGTGAATGTCAGATTGCACTCTTGCATAATAGGGTCTCTTATTCCTCAGGATTAGTGACTTCAGTGACTTCAGAGTTGTGTCCTGCTGGGCTTTAAAGCTTTTTGAGGGGACATTAAAGAGTGGAGGTTTTTTGTTAAGTAAATTGCAGTGAAGTCACAATTTTGTTAAGTCACAATTGCAGAGTGAAGGCAAGAAGATGCTTATTCAGAACAAAATATAAAATTCTAATTCTGTATTTATATATATAAAATACGTGTAAATTCATACAGATATATATTGTTATATATTTTTATATAGCTTTAATTTATATATAGATTGTATTCTAAAAGGTCTTTTCCAATCTACTTGATTCTGTGATTCTATAGATTTGGTTATGTATATATGTATGTATAATATGCAGGTGTATATATGCTTATTTATCTGTATATAATATAGATTTCTATAAAATATATTTTACATAAATACATGTATATTTTTATATTCTGTATTTTGAGTAGTATGACTGTTAGTGTAAATACTTCTCATGTCGTATCTTGGTTGTGGTTATGTTGTTAGAAGGTCTTCACAGATGGCACCTTGTCCTTCACAGTGGTTTTTAATGCCTGTGCAGTATCAGATGGGGAGAGGAACTGGTTGTTATGTGTAAGTGTGCATAAACATTTTTCCTTTTCTTTAGCTAGCTGGAAAACTTGCAGCCCGAGATTAAAAACCTGTCTGAGCGCCTTCGCTATGAAGTTTCTGTTCGTGGAAAACAACTGGGTTGGTCTGAAAAGGTGGCCAGGTAAGGTGGAGATAGTGTGTATATTACAAACCCCTTCCAGACTGTGGCACAGCAGAAGGGACAGTCCTACACACAACAGTCTTACAGAAAGATTCTGCCCTTGCCCAAAGCTGAGATTTTCTTGCCACTTCAACTGATTTGTATTTGTTATATTGCCCTTCAGAGCATATCTGGTTTAAAGCTCTGAATTTGCAATAGACTTACGATTACAGGGCTAAATCCAGGATTTTTTGTTGTTGTTGTCTTTACTTGTGGCCAAAGTTCCCTTAGCTATGATGGTATCTGAATATTGCTTGAATGGTTATGGTTGTGCCAATTAGTTAGTGTGATAGTGCACCCTGTGCAGTAGCAGTGTGTGATCTAAGCCAGGATGCTGACGATCACGTAACTGGCTGGTTGCCTCTGCACTGATGAAGTCATACCCTAGTTCAGGCAAAAAGCACTGTGAAATAGCATGTCAGATAAGTTACTGGTAGCTTTGTAACAGCTATTGTGAGAGGACTTCTTTCTTTTCTTTCTACAAGGTTCCACTATAAGAAGAATCTGCGGAGGATTGTGACAGAGCTGTACGTTCGAGACAACTGCCACCCCTTCAAAGCCACTCTGCTGGTGTGGGTGCAGGTTCCAATGTGGGTTTGCATGTCCCTCGCTTTGCGCAACTGCAGTGTTGGTGCCACAGGCTCAGAAGGTGATTCACCTGAACAGATACTCTCTTAACAGTCATTTTTGGTTCATTTACTGTTTTTATAGATGCGTTATTGCTTAAACAACACTGTTTCCTGAGCTTGACATATAAGCTGATAAAAAATCTACTCCACTACTAAGTTTTTAAACTTAATGTAGTTTAAGGATAGATAAATAGCTGATCAAGTTGAATTTTAAAAGCTTTGGTTTAGCCTGGAGAAGAGAAGCTGCATGGAGACCTCAGAGGAGCCTTCCAGTATCTGAAGGAGGACTACAAGGATGGCGGAGAGGGACTCTTCATCAGGGACTGTAGCAGTAGGACAAGGGGTGATGGGTTCAAACTGAAACAGGAGAAGTTTGGGTTAGATCTAAGAAAGAAGTTCATTACCGTGAGGGTGGTGAGGCACTGGCATAGGTTGCCCAGAGGTGTGGTAAATGCTTCATCCCTGGCAGCATTCAAGGCCAGGTTAGACAGAACCTTGGGCAACATGGTCTAGTGTGAGGTGTTCCTGTCCAGGCAGGGGTATTGGAACTGGATGATCTTAAGGTCCTTTCCAACCGTAAGTATTCTATGATTCTACAATTAGGTGCACTGTACACATTGTAGTAGATTAAACCACAGTTCATATGCCTGAAGAACTTGTGCCTGGACCAGACCTGGACTTTTCTTTGGTCTGTGCTCTTCCAGCAGGTGTTTGCATTAGCCAGAGCATCACTGAACTCAGCTCATGCGCTCCCATCATTTGGAATAGTGTTGAGCTTTGTGGGATGCTGCATTAAAAAGCAGTATCAGGGTCTGAGCTCTGGAAACACTGTGAGGCATTTTGTGAGGGTGTATGAGCATTTAATCATTTTGTGGTCTTTTGAAAACAGAGTTTACTGGGGAAAAAGGTTGTCTTGAAATTTTTATGGTTCAAAAGCATGTTTAGCAGGTGGTATTACCCTTGCTGCAGCGCATTCATCATTAATCTGTGGGTTTTTTTCCATGTGAAGTTTCATATGAAGTATTGTAGACAAGGTGTGTGGGGATTTTTTTTTTTAAGTAAAAATACGGATATTTTAGTTTTTTAGAAGAGAGTTTATAGTTTGTTCTTCTAAAAAAATATAACAGGTCATACAGTTACTAAGAAAAGTACAATTATTTCCAAACCACAAAGTATGTACTTGCTGGAGGTTATAGCATTGCGTATGTTTCTGATTGGTTTATAAGGTGGAGGTTGAAATCAGGCTAGGTTTTTTCACAGCTTTACCTGACCCAGTGGCTACCATGAGCCAACTTGGATCTCAGCTTTTATCTCCCACTGTTTCGTACTTCTGTTGGTAGCACATTGCCTTGACACACGATTTAAACTGAAGATTTCTGCTTTACTAGTATTTATTGCATAGTTAAAACATCACTAGAAACTTGGATGATTTGATTATAGTCCTGGGTTCAACTGTAACAGTTATTTTTCTCTTTCTTAGTATATAGTGCAGTGCTGTGTTTTTGTCTTTAGTCTGAGAACAATGCTGATAACACACCAGTTGTTTTAGTTGTTGCTAAGTAATGCTCAGTCCAATTAAGAACTTTTTAGTCTCATGCTCTGCCAGTGAGGAGGGGTATGGGAAGCTGGGAGGAAGCAGAGACAGGACACCTGACCCAAACTGGCCAAAGGGCTATTCCATACCACAGCACGTCATGCCCAGTGTATAAACTGGGGGGAGTTACCCAGGAGGTCCAGATCACTGCTTGGGTCGGGCTGGGTATCAGTCAGCAGGCAGTGAGCAATTGTATCCTCTCCTCTTTTTATTTCCCTTATTATTATCAGTGGTAGTAGCAGTAGTTTTGTATGGTACCTTAGTTACTGGACTGTTCTTATCTCAACCCGTGGGATTAACATTCTTTCGATTCTCCTCCCCATGCCCCTGGGAGCTTGGGGGGGAAGAAAGGGAGAGGGGGAGTGAGCAAGCGCCTGCTTGCTCAGTGGTTCTGATTTACCGGCTAAGCAGACATGACAGTTGTAACACTTGGTACAATTCTAACTAACCCGAGGTAGCAAATCATGCTTAATTCCATGTTTTCTTTGAATTTGTTGTAGTTCAGGAACAGTTCTCAGCAGGTGGAGTGCTGTGGTTCACAGACCTCACGGCACCAGACTCTACTTGGATTCTGCCAGTTTCACTTGGGCTTGTGAATCTGCTGATATTGGAGGTACGTTGGTGGAATGAATAGGATGATTGCAAATGGGTAGTTGTTTTTATAGAATTTTAACACTATTACTCAGTTACAAAACATGGCAACATGGGTAGTTTCAGATTATCACTGCTCAAAACGTGTTGGGCAGAGCTGAAAATTAACTTAATTGTATGTATTTGAATGTGTGGGTTCTTGTTTAGAGATGACAAATTCTCATGTGACCTGTCTCTGATAATTCATTGACTTTACTTGAGCCTCAGTAAAATTCAGTCTTGACTCTGAAGTTCCTCTTAAGAGTGACATTCTAATCAGCTTCCAGGGTATTAAGCATCCAAAAGCATATATGGGGTTTCTCTGTTTGTTCTGCCCCCTGTTACTTGTTACTGCCTTGTGGTCAAAAGTAACAATATTATGTTTTCTTAAGAAATTGAAAAAATCCAGAACTCTTGAATTACAGCAGTATGATTGAAATGGAAGATGTAAAACGGAAGTAAGACATGATCGAGAGCGCTGTGTTACAGGAAGCCCTTTGCCTTCTTTCTCATGTTAGTCATTTCCAAAAGAACTTGTTTATAACTCTGAGTTTCTCCTCTTTCAGATCTTTGCTGTGCAAAAAATGAAAGTTTCCAGGTTCCAGAAGCTTGTTACAAACTTCTTTCGAGTGGTGTCAGTAGTAATGATCCCTGTTGCTGCAACAGTCCCCTCTGTAAGTACAGACTATTGCTGGTGCCTCCATTAACCTGTGACTCTGGTATGTTCCTAGTGCTTCAAGAGCAGCCCAGATGCTTCTCTTTTTTGCTGCTCTTTTTTTAATACATCATTCTCTCTATTACAAGGTGTTTTGTCTATGTGTATGTTTAAATTCTTAGTAAGTTTGAAATGTTTCTCTCTAAGACGGAAGAACCTGCAAACTTAATGTTTCTAAACATCATTTTCACAAACTAGGGCTTGGAAAGACATTCAGAGCAGCTTAGTATCGTTTCTGTGATCTCAAAAGTGAGAGGAAAACTTTACATAGGGACATATAGACAAAATGTTTGCTTGCTGTAAGAAGAAAACAGCAGAGTTCATAAATCAGGGAATTTTCCACAATCTTATTAAAACACTTCTCACTTTACCAGGTGTTTTTCTACTTGTGAACATAAAAATAATTATCTAGTTGTTTGGCTCATCAACTTAGAATCGGAAACATAGAAGTTTTAAGCAAGTTTAATATGAATTAATTTGTGAACTGTTGTCAAGCTTCAGTGTAGATGATTCTTTTTCCCAGAGGAGATGAGAAAGAGTTAAAAATACATTTTCAGTGGAAGGCATTATTGTTATTGAGAGGAGTGGGTTTAGGTGAGTTCTTTTTCTGAGTAACTGGGAGTAAGCAGTGGCTGTGGTTCACGCCGAGTTGCTGAATTGGTTTCAAATGAGAACAGGGAGGCTGAACTAGGCTTGGTCTCATTGCAGTCCATGGCGTTGTACTGGCTGTCCTCCAGCTTCATGGGACTCTCACACAACCTGTTGCTGCGGTCTCCAGCCTTTCGCCGACTGTGTTGGATACCAAGGACCAAATCAGAATCAGATACTCCCTACAGGGATCTCCTGTCTGCCTTGGCTACCAAATACAGTTTCAAGAAATGATGTAGTTGGAAATCTCAGAAGAGCTGTCCCACAGATCTTGCAGGAGTAATTATGTTTTATTGAGATGTACTTATTTACTGTAAAATGTTGCAGCTGGAATTATATTTATTTTCCAAATAAAGCGCTGGCTGGCCATAAAGAATGACTGTGTGGCACAAGTGTGTGTTTATTGGGAAGTTTTGTCTCAGAATAGTTCAGCAATACAGGTTTCCCTCCTGAATTATCACAAGGAATTGTGCAGATTAGTTAAATAAAACTGGTTCATCTAGTGGAGCTTATCTGACCCATGGGCTAGTGAACAAGTTTTGGAATGAGGGAAAAGGCTAGATGAGCTGATACTGTAGTTATTGGTTTATTTAGTTAAGACCCCAGTGCAGATTGATTGGAAATCAGGTATAGTTGTTCAGTATCCATGTGGTTCTCAGTATCCGTGTGATACTTTCCATAGCAGTTCTGACAGCTCATTTCCTTTAACTGCAGAGTAAAGTGGTTGTCAGTCTCTTACGCATTTCATCTGGAATCAGGACAAGTTTCTTGTATCATTTCTGTGAGTGGCAGGGCTCTGTTTCTTCCTGGTCTCTTTGTGAATAAAATAGTGGCAGCTGCTTATTGTTCATACTAAAGTGAGACAACTAGCACCTTGAAAAAGAATGAATTACGATGAGAAACCGAATATTTGAATAATGTAAGAGTATTTTCAGGCTCACACCTCACCTTGTTCTGTAGACATCTTAAGTCAGCAGACATACATTGTTGGGAAACCCTGCACATGAATGTCCCTTGGAACAGAAGTCTGTGCAAGTCTTGTCTCATAAAACGTCATCGCTTTTCTTACAGAACCAGACATCGGGATCAAGGACACAGCCTTACCTGGATTTTTTGCTGTCAGGTGGCTGTCATAGTGCAGAGTCAGGATGGTTCATGTTTTAATTGTGAAAGCTGGTGCTCATTAATCTTTAATAATCAGAAAGTGGTATCTAAAATAACTCTTTTTTTTTTTTTTTTTTTTAACATTAGAAATATGTCCCTGCACTGGGAAAGAGAGAAGCAGGTGGAGTATCAGGGAGACATAACAAGCCAACAGTGACATGCCTTTGTTGTGGTGGAAAGAGTCTAATCTTCTGTGTTATTTCTTTTGTTAGTTTGTTTCCAATAGCCATGACCTTGAGCAAAAGAGGGAGTTGAAGGAGTTTATCGAGGCTGTCAACAGGACAGGGTTGTTTCTTCAGAAATGTTGTTTGGAATGAAATGTCCCTCAATTTCAGTCCTGATACCACACTTCAGATACTGTCTTTTACTGGATGTATTTTTGCTAGGGAAGTGCATGATATGTTTTCTCACACTTGAAAAACCCATATAAATTCTGTTTTCTTATTACATTTTATTTGAATTTAATATCATCATACGGCTCTTCAGACTGCAGTGTACCTGCTAGAGAGGACTGAATGGCAGCAGTAGCAGCTGGGCATGGTTTCTCACTGGTGGCAGGGTTGGTATCCTGGTCTGGTGGTGTTTCTTGGAGGAGTCACGTCCTGGCAGTGACCTGGCAAGGTGATAAAGTGCAAGTGAAATCCTGCCTTTTCCTGAGGTGGCTAGTTGTAGGAGGGAAGTTGTTATTCTCAGCAGTTCTTGAGGTTATATCTGGGTGCTCCTTCCAGTTGTGGGCTCCCCAGCATGGCACACGAGCGTACTGGAACCAGATCCAGGGGAGGGCTGGAAGCTGGAGCCTAGGGCGTGCTGAGAGAAATGAAGTTTTGCCCAGCCCATCAAGAGATGGCCCTGCAGAGCTAAAGGGGACATGTATCACTCTTTACAAGTGCTTAGTGTGAAATGGCAAAGCAGATGGAGCCAAACTCACCTTGGAAGTCCATAGAGGAAGGATGAGAGGCAACAGGGACAAGCTGGAAGACAAAAGTTTCAGAACTGATAGGTAAAAACCATGGTTTTTACCTCAAGGATGGTCCCACACCTGGTATCCTGGAGTGGGAAATTACGGGATCTACATCAGTGGGGGTACTTGAAGTGCCAACCAGACAAGGCCCTGAGGATCCTGCTTTAATGGGCCCTGCACAGAGCAGGAGCTGGACTAGAGACCTCCAAAATTCCCTTTCTAGGTGCATGGTTCTGTGCTGATGCTAGTGTCTTACCTGGAGAAATATCACAGATTATTAAAAAGAACAATTTTCAAGCATGCAACTGGGAGCAGAGAAATCAATTGGAGTAACTAAAGATGTTTTTGTTTGTGGAACAGATGTAAACAGTGATAATTACAAAGTGGAAGTTGTATTCACCCATTGGACTACAGAGCCCTGGGAGAGGTGGCTAGGGGCTCTGGAGCTCAGATAGCTTTTTCATCAATTCTCCAGGATAAAGGGGAGGACCTTAAAAAAGCTAGGTGCATTTGGCAGATTAATAAATGGTTAGAACAGTGGTGCCGTAGTCAGGGGTTTGGATATTTAAAACATGGGACTCAATTTGGGAGGCCAGGTCTACTGGAGACTGGTGGAGTTGGTCTTACAAGGGGAAGAGCTGTTTTGGTAGGAGACTTGCCAGGCTGGTCAAGAAAGCTTTAAACTAGATGTGTTGGGGTTAGGGGGGCATTGATCCATCCCAACACTCCCGGTCAGTTGCCAGCACCTAAAATAAATGCTTGGAGTGATGTAGAGATATTTCAGCTGCCCCAGCCATTGAGTTGGCTTCATTTGGAGCTCGGCTCAGATGCCTCTATACAAATGCCCGTAGTATGGGAAACAAACAAGGAATTTGACATGTGTGCAAGGCTACAGGAATACGATGTCACTGGTATCACAGAAGCATGGTGGGATGGCTCC